TCAGCTTATGGTTCACATTAACCCTAGGCACTTGGTACTTTTGATGTCATTGGCGTCGGAACTTAATGCTGGTAATGGAACGAGCAATGCTAGCTGCATTCATCAAACTGGCTTTGGAGGAGCTCCTCCATGCATTTGTAAGCATGGTGAGGTTTTAGATGCTTTTCTGATGCTACTAAGTAAGTATGTAATGTTTCAGTACCAATGTGATGAAGAATGCTGGAGTACATGTTACCCACGTCAAGTTACTACTACCAGTAATATATATAACCCACAGTAACAGAGTAGACCTCATGCTAGTATATATTCTCAGCATCATGAACATGTCCTAGCCAACCGTACTAGTACTTGGAAAGCGGAGGCCACTTACATAAACTAAGCTACATAGCATCTGATAAATCAATAAATTCCACAATTCGGAACATTTTCTCACACTAATCTCCTACAATTAGAAATGCAATTGGAACTATCTTCCGATGTACTCAATCCGTAAGTCACGTGGTGATAGCTCCGCGTCCGGCAGACATGGAGCTCTAGAGATCGTCAACTCAGGACCCTGAGACGACTCAACTATTCATCCCTTTTTCTAATCCTCACCACCCAACCCATTGGGGTCACTCTCCCCTAAAGATGTCCCAATTTGAATGAACTAATACAACCTATAAGCTATAGCCAAACAATTGGTGTATTACAACTCCCAGCATCACTTGCATCATTTCATGCAAGCGGCGAACGGTCGTCGAATATCCCCCGAAAAAAGCACCCCGTTGAGCTCCTACTAGCTTCTCCCACAATTTGTCAAACCTCCCGACGATCCAATTACTCCTGACTATTTCCCCTTCATCCCTAAAGTTCAACGCCCGAATCGCCCCTTTTGAGTACTCCCACGCCATGTCCCCGTCAACATTACTCTCTCTCGGTTCCGCGATTCTAGCCGTGTTTCTCTTCTGGACACTATCGTCAACCACGTCTTCACCATTCGGCGGTGCATTCCCTCGTCTATACAACAAGCGGATATGCCTCCTGATCGCCCACCCGGACGATGAGGCCATGTTCTTCGCGCCCACGGTTCTGGCCCTGACCAGACCGGAATACGGCAACCACCTCAAGATCCTCTGTCTCAGCAGCGGTAAGCACCCACACAGACCATCGAACAAACACCCCCAACATAAAGCCACTAACACCAACCCGCAACACGAAACAGGAGACGCCGACGGTCTCGGCCACATCCGCAAAAAGGAGCTCGTGAAAAGCGCCCTGCAACTAGGCCTACGCCAAGAATCCGACGTATACATCATCGACGACCCCTCCCGCTTCCGCGACAGCATGACCGTCCAATGGACCGAGTCCGACGTATCAGCTGTTCTCGAACACGCCTTTGCCCCCGAACTCAGCGACAGCACCTCTTCCAAGAAGAAATCGAACAAAGCCGACTCGGCACCTACGGCCACCATCGACGTGCTCTTGACCTTCGACAAGGGAGGTATCAGCAACCACCCTAATCACCGGTCTCTGTACCACGGCGCTGTTCATTTCCTGCGGTCCCTGATGAAGGATAAATCGGGGTATACCTGTCCGGTTACTCTGTATACGCTTACCACGACGAATCTGCTGCGCAAGTACGCGGGCGTTTTGGATGCGCCGTTTACAATGGTTCGGGGCGCGCTGCATTCCATTCTGGGCCGTGGTGGTAGTGGCTCCAAGGGCCAGCTCCCGTCGCGGCTTTTGTTCGTCAGTTCCGTTAATGAGTGGATGACTGCGCAGTCGGCTATGGTCAAGGCCCATCAGAGCCAGATGGTGTGGTTCCGGTGGGGCTGGATTACGATTGGTCGGTACATGGTGGTGAATGATCTGAAGGCGGAGAAGATATGATGATGATGATGGTGGTGGTGGTGCCTGGGTATAGGATCAGTGAACTGACTGGATAGGTGCCCTGCGTTTTGTAGCATATACCCACCCGCATTGTATGTATATGATTATGATTGTTTCCTTGGTGGACTGACGTTGTCTGAGGTATATAATCAGATGTCAAGTCCCATTTCTGTACAGGTATGCACCCTGTCGTCTTGAGAACAGCATGACTCGAAGGATATGATACTGACTACTGTTTTGCTTACTGAAAGACAAAACTCTCACAATCAAAAGAATAATGATAATATACGAAAAGCATAAAAGAGCTCAATATGTAACATGTCATATAGACAGGGTATCCGCTCAGGTAAGGCAATACATGCACACATGAGGTATCATAACTGACAGCCAAAGATCAGCTCATCATATATCCCGCTTCAGGACATGAAGAAAAGAAAAGCGAAAAAAAGAAATCAGGGTTGAGTGAAGGTATCCGCGAATTGTTAACTTTTCCGGATACGCAGATGAAAGTCACTATCGAAGTTATCAAGTGAAGAGAGGAAGAAAATGAAGATGGTGATAAAGAAAGTGAAAGAAAGCGAAGTGGCTCGGATATGAGCTATAATCAAGCCCATGAGAGAGGCCCCGGACCTGTGGTTATCGGATCGTCGTCCTCTCTTGCTTGGCGTTCCCGAGTGGTAGAGCGCGCTTGTCTGGGCGTCCTTGCGGTGGCTCTAGGGATCTCATACTCGCCAGTTTCGTATCCCAGTTCTTCCGCCAGGAAAGCTTCGTCGTCGTAAGTGCTACTAACATTGTCTTCGTGTACAGCCTCGAAAAGCCTTCTCAGGGGTGGAATGGACAGATCAAGATGCGGGGCAGATTGTCGATAATAATCCCAGAAAATGTCGTCGTCTATATCGTTTGCGTCGTCATCAAGCTCGAAGTTCGTTCCGAAGGTTGGCCGCCGGACTGGTACTCTATCATGGGTTCTGATATTACGCTGGCGCCAAGAGGTGGCACCATCGAATTCGACGAGTCCTCCTCGGGTATGGTATACCACGGACTCCGGCAAAAAGTCTCGCCATTCTTCCAGCGCCTGCGGAAGAAGGGTCCGTTCCCACGCTTGGTTCCGACGACCCAGCCAACGATGGTGAATCAGCAATAGTCTTGCGAGACGCTCCATGACAACGGTTTGCTGCATAGTGCGCAAGCGCAGAATGTCATATGCGTGCACAGCATCTGCAAAGGCTCGTGATTTGAGGATTTCCGTTTGTGCCTGTCCCAGATACGCCTCTATTATCGACCTCGCAGTTCTTCTCTTCTTTCGTGTCTCCCTTAAAATATTATACGCAGCTTCCATATGGTGCTGGAATTCTGACAGCCGGGCGCGATCCCACGCAGTTTTGGCGAGGATATGGTGTACCTCGATTGTTGGACGCACGTTGAAAGGCTCGGATGTCATTGTTTCGAACATGGAATTGAGGAAGTCATATGAAACCTGGCCCTTCGCATTTCTTTCAGCGTCGGGGCCAAACCTCGGACGCGACAAAACGAACGATCGCTCAAATAGCTCGAGCCAGACATTCTCCGGCACCGGGATGTCATATTTGTTCGAAATAAAATCTATGGTACGCAGCGCGGCAGGGATGTCATTGTTGGTGCCGAAGGCATGAGCTACGGCGAACAGCAGGTGGTTTGTGGGGTACAGCGGTGAGGAACGGTCGTATGGGGTCACTTCTGGAAGCATCGACTCATCGACCTGGTCTAGCAGCGCATCGACGTCAATGTTCCAGACGGTGTGCAGGACATTCTTGATTCCTTGCATATGGCCAACTCGACTTGACGCAAGGATCACATTGACAAAGGTGGTGGTGTCCCCCGAGGTACCCTCCTGTGTCATCTCGTTGAAGATCTGCAGCACTTCCTTTCTCACACTCCGGGCAGCCGTACCGTAACCTTGCCATCCGGGGTTAGGTTCGAAGAATCTCCTCTTCCGATACAGGTAAGGGGTCATTCTGAGGCGATACTTCTCCAAGCCGGTGTATGCTCTATCCCAGACTTTCGCCTCCATGTAGTAGTTATAGCACTGGGAATCCGGCACCATTCCATCCTCCCTAATTGTTTGCCAGATATAGTCTGCCATGATGGCGTCGCCCATTGAGCGTGCGCAATCGAGCAGGTGCGTGTACTCAGCCAGGCCCAAGGGTTGGCCGCCCGCCCACCTAATTTGCAGGATGGCAGAAAGGTTACTGGCAAATTCGTCGAAAATCGAGTCCAGTGATTTGTACTGCTTGACATCGACAGCCGACGGATGAATGGGACGATGGATTTCCCGATAGGGATCGATAAAGTAAGCCGGGGAGAGGAGATGGAAGACTTCGACAAAGGTGCTGGGTGGCATCAAGCAAACCAAGCTCTCAAAGCGAGGATCCAGCATCGCATCCATCACCTGGTCTGGTTGGCCATCTCGGAGGATAGCGTTGAAACGTCTCTTCACATCCTCAAAGCTCTCGACCCGGGGACCAGCCCCAATGTCGTGCCCTCTGTCGTCTTGTGCATTGGAGATCTCATGATCGCCCAAGTCAACCTGACCAGGTTCCAGTATGTCCGTGCCTCCCCGTCCCAGCTGTGGAGCATGTCTATTAGCGAACCAGCCTTTGTTCCTAGAATGATTGCTGCTGTCGTCGTTCCGATAACGAAGATGTAAATGTGATCCGGATGATCGTTGGCGGCGCGTAGGATCCCGAAGTATAAGAAGTGGAGAACAGCGAGGTAGGTGGGTTAATCGACATCGACGGTACGTAGGACACACCAAATGAGAGCCCAAGCTCTCACTGGTACGAATGAACCCTAGCATTGTGAATTGAGGACAGGAAACAAGAAAGAACGTAGGGAAAAAGCCGGGGGTGTTCAGGCCGTCAGAAGTCGGGGGGAAACGAGCTGCGACTATAAAAGCGGAGTAAATGAGGAGGTGCCGCTTGTTGTGGTCTTGGCGGGCCAGATCCCTGTCAGACTCTGTAGCCTTTTTCACCATCCATGTCCCGCGTCTGCTGTACACGCTGCAGCTTGGATCCTTCCCCCCTTCCTTTCGTTCGCTTAGCTTAACGCTTCAGTCTCTCCTTTTCCACCCACCCACCCTCGACCTCGACATGGCCGACACCGAGGATGCGGGCACATCGTCCGTCTCCGAGCCCTTAGATTTGGTGCGCCTGTCGCTCGATGAAATCGTCTTCGTCAAGCTGCGCGGCGATCGCGAGCTCAAGGGCCGTCTCCATGTGAGTTTGACGCCTTCACCCCCGGCCTCTGGGCTACGTGGCTTTTACTGACAGATGGTTCTGGGTAGGCATACGATAGCCATTGCAACCTGGTGCTAGGAGATGTTGAGGAGACCATCTACGTGGTGGAGGAAGACGAGAACGAGCAAGAGATCCTCCGAGTACGTCGCTCTATCCATTTACCTCGGTTATAGTACAATCAATTTGGGTGATACTATAATAGTGCGGCGCTGGGCTAACGCAGGTTGATTGTCTTTAGACCATCAAGAAGCAAGAAGAGATGCTCTTTGTTCGAGGTGCGTTTCGCGATGCCATTCCCGGTAGAGCCCGGGCCTTGTCATACTGACGTTTTACGATAGGAGACTCTGTCGTTTTGATTTCTCCTCAGGCATAAGAATTGGAAGGCAATAATAAGTAGGAAGACGGATCACATCGGATATTCTTGGGGCCACCCCTCACCCAAGCTACGAAATACGAGACCACGAAGACACCAGGCGATGTTACAGGGTTTCCAGGCTATACGAATTTATCTTTTAATGTATTCACGTACTCGGTCATGCTTGGGCCTGCAGGTTTTCTTTATATCAGATATAGAGGCATCAGGAAGGTGTAAGGCGTGTGGTATCATGGCATCATGCCATACTGGCATATGTAGCGATGAAACCAACAGCAGCGACCAGTGTTTCTGGTTTGCGACCTGGCCCAAAACAGCTAATAAAAAATTGGCTACTGTAGCGGTGACAAAGACAATCATCATTCCAGCACAGCCTTAGCTGGATGGAGGGAATGACTGTGCTGAGCCCGTATGACTCAATAATTTGCTTGGGGGCCGCACGAGGCGGCGATGACTCGCACTTTCCTATCGATAAAGCTTCCCCGGTTCACTCCCGACACTCGCTGTACATCTCTTCCCTCCTAGCATATCATTCACAAACCACCTTCTCATTCACCTATCCAGCTCCAGACCCTTATTGCCATCCTTATTCTGTTTTGCTTATCCTTACTCCCTACCTGATCCTCGTATTTATACATAGAGCTATGATAACACGAATACGTGTCTGAGTGCGCCAGCGGCGATCATCCATCTTCCACCCGACCGAGTGACACATCATATCGCAGATCGATAACGTGCCTTTGCTCCGAACTATTTTCTTTCGCCATCATCTTAATCATCGACCAATATAGCCATCAAAATGCGGACGGCTGAATCTAAGCCTTCGTTGCAGGAACGGCGGAGAGGCGAGATTGTGCGCATCCCCCCGGCGAAGCAATCTGGCATTCCCGCTAACACGTAGCCAACATATAGGCCCTCAGCGAGTTCGCCGAGTACGCTGAAAAGCAACAGGCCCAGCGAGCGGCTCAGTATTTGCCCAGTGATAGCGGCTACGAAACAGCCAGCGCAGCTCCAGTATCTGAAGACCATGCCGAACTGGATATTCTCGACCAGCTAGACCTCACGGATACCCCGAAACCGGTCAAGTTGAAGGAGTTGCTCTTGGGCACTGGTGAACAGCCAGACCATGACATCCAAGTCCTGGCCAACATCCTACAGACGCGCATCGACGAAGGACATGGTGAGACTCTCTTCGACCTGGGCCTTGAGGATGGCGGGGATTCCATGTCCTTTGATCTTAGCCAGTGGAATACAGCCTTACAGCGCTTGCGGGAAGCGGCGGAAACCCTTCCTGCTCACTGTCGGATCCTTGTTACCTACAATGTTGGCGGGCCAGAAGAATCACGCGTAAAGCATGAGCGAATTAAAGGCTCTTGGGGCAAGCTCTTGATCCGGCAGCCAGCGGGCACCGTGGAGGAGATGGCTGAGATCCGCATGGCAGTGGTTGGCAATGTTGACGCAGGTAAGAGTACCATGCTTGGTGTGCTGGTCAAGGGAAACTTGGATGATGGCCGAGGGAAGGCTCGACTCAATCTGTTCCGCCACAAGCACGAAATCGAGAGTGGTCGGACCAGCTCGGTAGGGATGGAGATAATGGGGTTCGACAGCCGTGGTGACATTGTCAGCAGCGCTCATGGGCGGAAGATGTCCTGGGAAGATATAGGAAGACGTTCCGCCAAAGTAATATCCTTCTCTGATCTTGCTGGGCATGAACGGTACCTGCGAACTACGGTTTTCGGCATGCTGAGCAGCAGCCCCAACTATTGTTTACTCATGGTCGCGGCTAACAATGGCCTCATTGGCATGAGCAAAGAACACCTGGGTATTGCTGTGGCTTTACACGTGCCGGTCATGGTAATTGTCACCAAGATCGATATTTGCCCACCGCAGATTTTGGAGGAGACCCTTTCCCAGCTCAGCAAACTTCTCAAGTCGCCTGGCTCTCGTAAAATTCCCATTTTCGTGAAGGACATGGAAGAAACCATCAACACGGCGACACAGTTTGTGAGCCAGCGGATCTGCCCGATCTTCCAGGTGTCCAACGTCACTGGAGAGAACCTGGACCTTGTGCGGACGTTCCTGAATATCCTTCCTCACCGCGGCCAATACAATGTGAATGCTCCGTTCGAGTTCCTCATCAATGATACGTTCTCCGTGCCTCATGTGGGTACAGTTGTATCTGGGGTGGCCAAGTCGGGTGTGATACACGCTGGCGATACCGTTTTGGTCGGGCCTGACTCTCTCGGTCAGTTCACGACTACCACGATCAAGTCCATTGAGCGCAAGCGTATTCAGGTCAACGCTTGTTTTGCAGGCCAGTCGGGCTCTTTCGCATTGAAACGTGTCCGACGGAAGGAGGTCCGTAAGGGCATGGTTGTTCTCAAGAAGTTGGACCAGCCCCCGAAAGTCTACAGGGAGTTCGTCGCTGAGGGTGCGTCTCCTAGTTGTTCCCTTTCTACTCATTCTGATGTACTGATTGTTTAGTCTTAATCATATCTCACGCCACCACGATCAAGCCTCGGTATCAAGCAATGCTGCATGTCGGCGCAGTAAGTCAAACATGCTCTGTCATTGACATTGATCGTCCCTTCATTCGGGGCGGTGACCGCGCGTTGGTTGCGTTCAGATTTGTACAGCGTCCCGAATTCTTGGCCCCCGGGGATCGAGTGCTTTTCCGGGAGGGAAAGACCAAGGGACTAGGAGTTGTTAAAAGTGTGGGATACGATCCCAAACAGCCTTTGAACCCAGAGGCGAAGAATGCCGCGGAAATGAGCAAACAAGCCTGACAGGTTCCGTGGCTCTCTTACCCGATACATTCATAGTTTGAGATCGACAGAGGCGTCCATATTCGGCTACGAGACCTTCGCAATTTCTTGTGCGCGAAGGTCAGGTTGATTCATATTTGGCACTGATATTGGGTTGTAGGGTATTGCATTCTTACTGCGAATATTTCATAGTGTGTTTTCATTATTTGCTTGCTTCTAGTGTGCATTTTGTGGTGGCGTTCGAATGAGGCAGACGAAGTATCTACGAGTCACCGTTCCAATTGTGCAGCCCCCAAGGGTCTCTCTCTTTGTCCATAGAATTCTAATTGACTTTGGTCTGCTGCTCCATCTCTTGCATTGTCGGTGCCAGTTGGTCGGTCCAGTGTTACCCACGTGACAGGTGACGTTCCTTGACGTCACGGGATGGAGTGATGACATCGCGGGTTCTGCGATCGACACTATGTTCTCCTCATATGCTTGTTCTGTTTGCGCTGCTTTCGCCTCGTGCCACTGACGTACTATAATGTATTGCTATTCTCTTGCCTTTCTAGAAAAACCGCATCCCGCAGATTAACCAGCCTTCTTATGATCCCACCCACAGCTCTGACGACACAAGGTTCTATGATTATCGCCTCCGACCATTCATAAACGAGGCGTCCAGCACTTCTGAAGTAGCTTAAGCTTACATTTCATCCAAATATCACACAATTGATTTCACCCACGCATATAAACATGGAGACCATAAATCGAACTTTCAACAACGCCTCGAATGCTCTTTGGAACGAGGTCCATCCTAACCAAACCCCCGATAGCCTATCAAACCAGCAGCATGGCGATGAGCCTCTATCTGGAATCCAAGGCAGAGGAACTGCCACCGATCCTTATGATGCCGGAAACCGTGATGGTAAGAACCTCATTAATCACTTCATGCCTTGTCAGACGAATCACGAACCATTGAATGATCAAGTGAAGCTAACACCAATTAGAACAACCTGGTGCTCCGAGGACAAAGGATAACACCGCTGTCATCCCCGAACCACTTGCATCTACCGATGCTGATCACGCCCGCAACCCCAAGTCACCCAGCAATGCCGACTTCGGCTTCAAGGAAGTTTTCATCAGTGAGCCATACCAGGGTCAGCAGATGAACTACCCCATAAGAGGCGCTTCCTCTGGTATCAAACAAGGGCAGTCTCAAGCTGCCGTTCCTGAGCAGCGAACCCAGACCTCCACCTATGGTCAAGGAAGCCATGCCTCCGGTATGGGAAGCCAGTATACCCAGAAGAGCAGAAACACTGCGGGTTCGTCCTCGGCCACTAGTGGCGCGTATGCCTACTCTGGACAAGGAGTCCAGGACACCACTGATCTTCGTGACAATACCTCTGCGTCCAGGGATCAGGGAGTCTCAAGCAAATCAAACATTTCGGGTCCTACTGGCGCGTATGCCTATTCCGGACAAGGAGTCCAAGACACCACGGATCTTCGTGAGGATGTCTCCGCGGCCAGGGAACAGGGAGTCTCGAGCAAGTCGAACGTCTCGGGCCCTACTGGCGCCTATGCCTATTCCGGACAGGTGGCTCAGGATGACGTGGATGCACAAGAGCAAGTGAGGGTTCCTACATCGATAAAGAAGGATACGGCAAACCAACGAATCTCAAGCGCTGCACAATCTGCTCAGCGCATGCCAGATGACGCGGCCAAATCAATGCAGAAGGAGAATGAGTACGGCAGACAAGCGGTTGCCGGAGGCATGGCTGGAGGTGTGGCTGGAGGCGTCATTGGACAACAGGGAATGAAGAGCAATGCCGGTCAAGGAGCTGTTCAGAGCGTCAATGACGACGATGTTAGAGCCCGCTCGATGCAGCAGGATAGCACATCCCCTAGCTCAGCGATGGCGGGGGGCTCTGTCGGAAAGCAGAGTGCCTATGGCAACATTGATAAGGCACGGGATACCCAACAAGAGAGACTGTCCGCAGCCAAGTCAACTCCATCAGCATCCGAGTCCACTCCCAGTGGAGTAGATTCAGTAAACGCAAGGAGCCAGGTGCCGAATAAAGAAGCTCGGGTTTATCAGGACAAGTCAACGCAAGATGAGAGCGGCGCCGCGGTTGGCTCTGCCCAGAAAGACAGCGGCGCAGGAATGACCGAAGAAGACGGTGTTGACTCCCTGAAGAAAGGCAAAGAGAGCGCAGACGACACCGGGGACAAGCTTCCCAAGAACACCAAAGTCAGCGA